GCACTCTGTTCCCTCATCCAGGTCGTTGATGGATATATGGAATAGTACTGGTCCCAGTACTGATCCTTGAGGGACTCCACTAGACACAGGCCTCCAACTGGACTCTGTCCCATTGACCACAACTCTCTGACTTCTTCCTTTCAACCAATTCATAACCCACTTCACTACCCCATTATCCAGCTGCATCCCAGTCACCCATTTGGTTATATCAGTTACAGATTTTCCAACAGAACTGCAGGATCTTCTTTTTAACCCTTAAAATCACACATTTGTGCACATTTTTGTGCACCATACCTGTATCTCCTCAGCCTGTTCATGTGTGCATTGTTCCTATATTCATTAGTCTATTCACTGAATGTGTTTGCTATTGAAAATACCTGCAGTCATCCAGGCTTCTGAGTTAAACTTTCAACTACAGAAAAAGAGACCAAACAGTAAATGAATTCATGTAACATCAGTTCTGTGTGATGAAGTGGATTAGTACAGAGTTCAGAGCAGGAAAGCTGTTCTTTGTGGAAATTTCCTATCAGCTGAGTGCAGCAACAGCCTACCTGTCTCGGTTCATGTCCTGCTTGGCAGACCTTTAGAGAAGTTCTCAAGACAGTGGAAGTTTCTTTATCATCCTCCAAGTCTCACTGTGATCAAATGTCCAAATTGCTTAACTGATCCCTAACCCAGTCCTCATCAACCAAGGCAAACTCCTCCTCCTTTATCCTGACTTCCTCTGGGGCCTCAGGGGTCTGGGACTCCTGAGGACAGCTTCCAGCAGAGTAGACAAAGAGGGCGTTCAGTAACTCTGCCTTCTTTGTATCCCGTCACCAGGGCACCCACCCCATTCTGCAGTGGCCTACATTGCCTCTCATGTTGGCTTTGTCTGTAATGTATTTGAAGAAGCCCTTTCTGTTGTCCTTGACCTCTCTTGCAAAGCTTAATTCCAAGGAGGCCTTAGCTTTCCTAGTTGCCTCCCTACATCCTATGACAACAGTCTTACATCCCTCCCAAGTGACCAGCCTCTCCTTCCATGATCTTCAGACCTTCTTCTTCCACTTCAGGTTGCCCAGCAGTTCCCTGTTTAACTACGCAGGTCTCCTGGCTCCCTTTGTTGAATGCCTACACATTGGGATGCTCTGATCTTGAGCTTGGAAGAAGTGGTCCTTGAATGTTAACCAACTATCTTGGGCCCCTTTACCATCTAGCACTCTGCCCCATGGGATTTCCCTTAGCAAGGTTGGAAAAGACCTCTAAGATCATCCAGTCCAATCGTTAACTCATCACCACCATGACTACTAAACCATGTCCCTGAGTGCTACATCTACACATTTCTTGAACACCTCCAAGGATTGTGGTCTACTAGTATTAGTAAAAACTTTCTACCAGTACTAGTAAAAAGCAACATTTAAAATCTGAGTCTTGATGAAAACTGCCTTCATTGTGGGATGGCAGAACAAAAAGTAAAATGTCACTTTACAGCACAGATAAATTACAAATGTGGAATTAGCTGCCTTATTACAATCCAAATCACAAGGTTTTGGGGACAGGTCAAGATTCAGGAAGGGGAAAAAAAAAGAATATTTAATTTTAAAGGATAAATTCTCAACTGTTGTAGGCAACTTACTGGAAAGCCATATCAACACAGTTGTGTGCTGTGCAGGTCCACATCCTAAACTTGCCTACTCACTGAAGGAGACCAGTGGTCTGTTCTGCATCAATAAAATGAGAAATGTAGGCGAAAACCACCACCACCCCCACTACCTAATGCACAGTAAAACGTTTCCTCAACACTTCTTCTACCACACAAATATTCAACAACAGGGAGCGACACACTGTTGGAAGCAGCTAATAGGAACATTTTGCCATTATACTGCTTTCCAAAAGAAATCCCCCTAGGCAGGATGACCAGTTACTCTAAAGCACTGGAGAGAAGTCTTCAGTTTGGAGCAGATTACTCTAGGTCACTCTGGTTTTGTATGAAGCCTGAAGGGCTGCATTTCCAGATCTCTCTCATCATTTGATCCGAATTAGATTGGCAATATCCTCAAAATCATTTGATACAGCAACTGCCTTCTGGTCAGATAGAAACATAGAATGGTTTGGGTTGGAAGGGACCTTAAAGCTCATCCAGTTCCAACCCCCCTGCCATCAGCAGGGACACCTTCCACTAGACCAGGTTGCTCAAAGCCTCATCCAGCCTGGCCTTAAACACTTCCAGGGAGGGGGCATCCACAGCTTCTCTGGGCAACCTGTTCCAGTGTCTGACCACCCTCACAGTGAAGAAGTTCTTCCTAATATCTAATCTAAATCTACCCTCTTTCAGCTTAAACCCATTTCCCCTTGTTTTGTCATTAACTTTTCATAAGAAAAGTCCCTCCCCAGCTTTCTTGTAGCCCCTTCAGGTACTGGAAGGCCGCTATAAGATCTCCCTGAGATAGCTGATGCATTTCTGGTCACATAACCTAGCAACCTCAGAACAGGGTGCAGCAGGCAGCAGGCCAAGGGACAAACACACTCGGTGGGCCTGCATCTGATCAGCAGGCTTACTGCTCTGCATTGTCCTGGTTACAGAAGAGACACTCAGACTAAACACTGCAAATTTCAGGTATCACAGAGGGAAAAATACTCCTCTAGAGAAACAGAATTATGCAGAAGAGATCAAGAGGGACAAATGAATAAACAGAACCTAAGCTGTATCTGCAGTACTGGCAGTTAGAAATAACCTATTTCAATCAAGGATTTTAAAAGTGCAAACTATATAAAAAAATTATCCACAGATCTTTCTGTTTGGAACTGGAATGCAGCAACTAAGCTTATATAAAATCCTGTAACAAGCTGGGAATGAAAGCAAGTATATTCAGCTGAAAATATTGAGTTGGTACTTGCACATTCATAGTAATTATGAGCAGTAACATGATGAAAATCCAAGTCAACAGATTTGTTCCAGGCTAACACACAGTCAGTAAGTATACTTAGAACTCTAACAAAATGATCTTTACCTTCGTCTTTGCTCATTGCCCTCTGACCCTGGCTGCTGACAGAGTCTCCATCTCTTTGATGCTTTTGACTAAGTCTTACATAAAGGGCCTTCTGCATTGCTGGAAGAAAATCTGGTACATTGATGGCTGGTTTATGGCCCATATGGCCACCCATGCAGTCTGACTCGCTTCCACCTTGATGTGACTCTTGAGCCATGAGGTGAGCCTGGTGATCTGTAAATTCTCCATGCCATGTTCCATCTGCAGTACAAAAAAACCCAGTTAGCAGCTAACCTACACTAGCTTTTACAGCAGAGGTAATAAAATATAAAACACAATCAAGCAAAACTAATGTGACTTTCATTACACGATTGGAAAACATCAGCTGAAAAAGCCTATACACTTAAGGCATTCCAGGAGGTTTGGCTTTTTATCCAAAATTCTTGAAGCTGCTCAGCTTTGGAGCCATGTTGTTTTAATAACACACAACAGCAAAGCGACATATTAAGGAACAAGAGTTTTTAAATGTCCTTACCACCAGAGTTATTAGCTGGCTGGAAGTTATGTACGGCTTGATGAGAATAGTAATTGTCATAGAAATCAGTTGGGTTCTGAATAGGCTCGTAATTCATATTCGGCTGCCGTTCCCCAGGCATCTGCTGGTATTGTGGCCCTGGAGGACAATGATTGTCTCTTGGCATATTCACCATATGTCCTTGAACTCCTGGGGCATTGTAAGATCCACCAAGACCCGGTGGTGTGAGAGGTGGACCACCTTGCTGTCCTTGCATAGGCATACCAGTCTGGTTCTGTGGGCCGAGAAAGCCTGGTGGAACACCCTGCATAGGAGGACTCTGTGTTGAGGCCCTGCACATGGATGATGTCCAGGAGAACCTGGGTGCATTGGTGGCCCATTATGTCCTTGTGACATGCCTGGTCCCGGCCCTGGACTTGAACCTGGATTATACATATGCTGAGAGTGTGGGTCATTTCCTTGAAACGGTGGTCTTGGTGGTGACGCGCTGTTATAGAAGGTCGGTGGCCTGTAGGCAAAAGAAAATTTGCGAATCAAATTTTGCACCTACAAAGATCAACAGCCTATTACCTATCTCCTCACTCTTACAGATGTCTGCTCATGTGTACTTGATCTTAAATTGGATAAAAATCTGAAAGAAGCAAAATAATTTTCAAAGAGTGTGTGTACATTACACATGACAGACCTTGTCTGCAAGTAGGACATTTTTTCAATATTAGCACATGCAGAACTGGACATTTGCTGCATCTCAGAGTTTTCAACATCCCAAGGCCAACAGTCTCCATCAGGAGTATTGATTGGTTTCGGTCAAGACAAAGCTAACTATAAAAAGAGCTTAGAAGAGAATGAACTTCGCTCAACCTGCAGTGGGAGATAGGCAAGGCAGGCACAGCGCCAAAACAAGAGCCAATGGAGTGACTTTCGAGAAGGTCAAGGCTCAGTAAGTTCTCTTCTATGGAAAGCATTAAATAAGTAACTAATTACGGCAGCCATATTTGACAGATAATTAACCTAGTAATATACTCAGTCAGATATACTTCCGACAGAAACTAAGAGAACTGTTTAAATATTTATGCAGCCATGTTTTAAGGAGAGCTCTACACAAAATTCTAAAACCTACTTTTTTCCAATTTTGTGTGCTAAATCCACAGTAGGCTTCACAACTATTTCAAAGAGAGATGGGATTTTCTTATAATCCCCTGAAGGATCTTGATAATTTTCTATATCGGACTCAGAAAACGGATATTGCTCTGGCGGGGTTGGCAGAAGTCCAACACCTGGTGGTGGCTTAGGGAGAGGAACTATGCCACGCTTTCTGAGTTCCTCCAGTTCTTTCTCATCTTCATTTTGCGGTTCCTCCTCATTATTCAAAACCTAGAACAAAAGCAATGTAGCAAACACTTCATTAATTCTGCAGTATATGCAATTTGATTTAGTCTTGCACTTTCCATTTAAATAAAATTACCTGCTAAAATATTACTATATATTGACATCAGACTCTCAGGAATTATAACTGTATTATGATTTTTTATACAAGACACCGATTCAGAGCCAGGAAGAAAACTATTTCTGTAGTCAGGAAAGGACAATTTCACCCAAGTCCATTTCCTTCAAACAATCATTTTTAAGTGACAGAAATTGAAGGAATTAATTCTAAGATTCATAATGTTTCCCATGTTAAATTCAGGCCACTTTTCAGTTAAGGTCTGTTGTATAGTAACTGGAGAGAGACATGAATATTCTACTTAACACAAAGGTCAAGATTTAATGAATCATTCAGAGGAGGCACCTCATTCCTTTCTCCACCCTGAGTGCAGAAGTCAGTCAGATGATATCTAACGTCTAGGCAGCTAAAGATAGACAACACAAAAGCTACACTTCTTGTTACAGAGTACGTGAAGTTTTCCACAGAAAGCAATGCAAAAGAAAGTTCATGAGCAGAAACTTGAGCTGTGAAAACAAATGAGCCTGATATGGCTAAAAAACAAACAAGCAAACAAAAACTGATGGCAAGGGGAATTCCTGGTATTGAACCTGCTCACAGACTTACTGCCCAGAAGAGCAAGAGGGAAGGTTAACAGCATTAATGTTCTCCCCAAGAATCCCACAGAAATTTCAAGCAACCTTCCCCCTCTTCTTTCTAGCAACAAATTGTGTTTACAGACTACGAATTGCTCACCTTATCCAACAGCTCTTTTGTTTCTGCAGTCAGGGGAGCGTGAGAAAATTTGCACTTATCTCCTTGATAGCATTTTGCTCCTGTATGGTAGAACTTGCAAGGGAATTCATGTAAGCAATGTATTAAGGATTCCTAACAAAGCCTGATTTATAATTTGCCCTGTTTATCAAGTTTATGAAATTCAGTTGTCAACTATCCTTCAATTCTTCACCAGTACTTATACTTTCCAAAGCAATATGTTAAGAATTTTTCAAAGCTAATAACCAACTTACCTCCTAGTTCCATTTAACATTCTACTAATAATTACATACATTACTGTGGTCTTGACATTATTTTTGACTTGATTCTAAAATTGTAATTAAAAAGATGAAGTTCTCAATTCCAGAATAAAACACAAGTCCTTTACAACAAACAAGAACAGATCAGGATTTTAAAAGTATATGGACAAATGCATTGAACTTCAAGGGGTTTTATCTTTTAAAACATTAAAAATCCTTGAACCCAAAAATAAACCAGTAATTTTATATGTACTTTCTCCTCTTAAGTTTGAGCAGAAAAACAATCTACTTGTAGTAAATCTACATAGTCTTTGGTCTAGTCTCTTAAGAAAAGAAACAGCTACCCTTAAAAATCACATCAATTAAGAGTAAATATAAACTTTCAGTTTAATTCAAGTATTATTTTCTTAAAGGATATTGTGCAAATAAATGCAGTTCTCTCCTTTGGTGCAGTAACCCTGTATGTAAAACTTGCAGATTTCCTTTTTCTTTTCAATCTCTGCATCATGATCAAATTTACACTGCTCTCCCTATTAAAAAAAACAAAATCAAGAAAAAACATTATCACATTATTGATCTGAAATGCCGAGTAATTACATCTCATATTTAAAGAAAACGTCCCCTTTAGCTGAATTTAAACTTTTTATCTGTACTAACAGAGCTAACATGCATTATAAGCATGTCCCTAAAAACTGTGAATAGTGGGGCCTGGACATAGAGAAACAATTCCTGAATCAGGATTCAATTAAGAACATACGCAGTCGCCACAGAAAACAAGCTAAGGCTGGCCTTACAGTACCAGTTCTCTTCTCTGTCTCCACCGAGCAATCTGCATTAAAAAGGCTTTTAAACAAACACTTTACTGAAATTCTTTTCCATATAAACAATTACACACTTGATCAGGAAACCTGATTCTGCTGTAAGGGTGTGTGGGAGAACTCAAAAAGTCAAACAAGTTAAGTATTAAGACTCTTCCATGTAAGAAAAATAAGACCCTAAATAATATCAAGTTTATATCAACTGTATCATGTCACACATTATGATTACTTTGCTGAATAAGTTTTTTTTTCTTTTTTTAAAATTTATTTTAATGAAAAATACACTAAGTGCTCTTTCAACCACTTGTTTTAAAACTGAAGGTGGCAGCAAATACTCATGTCACTGAGCATGGTATATTAAAATATCTAAAGGCAGCAACAAATGCATTGTTTTCAATTCCCCTCTGGTTTGGGGGGGAAAAAAAAAACATACTAATTTTCATCTTTACTTTGACTATTTGAAAAAGAATCAGAAAATGTTCTATCTCTAAATAGAGAGGAATCAAATAGAAATGACACACTCGCTTACTGGAGAAGCATGCAGTTTTTCTTAAGTGTGTTTTAGAACTGACTGAACTAGCCTCACACCAGAGGATTCAACTCCACAGCAGCATAAGCTTCAAAATGAAGCAACAGCAATTATTTTTATGTAATATGAGACTGTCTTGCTAAGGCTTTTGCTTGACAGCTGACTGCTCTGAATAGCATTCTCTTCCTTCTGCTGCCTTCCACTTGCTGGCAGAAGAAAGATGACTTCAATTCTTTGGTAGGGGAACTATTACTACAACCCCATTTTTTACTTTAGAGAGAGAAATAATTTAGCATAATTAAGCAATTCCTTCAATGTTTCAAAATTAGCAGTAGTACATAAAAGAGAAATAATCTAATACATTCAGAAATCATTGCCTATTTACAGATACCATACTTGTAAGATTTGTATATTTACACACGATACATTGTCAGTGTAAGTTTATACTAATCACAGATGTTTTAACTGTATATATTAATAAGCAAACACAGTAATTTTTAATAGAATTTGTTATAATTCAAAATGTGTAACATAAGGGGGATACTTTTGCACAAGGAATTCTGTTGGTATTTATCTATAAAGACTCAACACATTAGAACTCAAAACATTGAGTTTCAACACACGAGTTTCCTTTGCATCAGTTGAAGTGAAATAGAACAGAGCATCTTTTTCCCTTCCTCATACTAAAGAGGCAGATCAACAAACACAATGCATAATTACCTTAATACATCTCCCTTCAAGGAAATATTTACAAATTTGTTTGCCTTTGTGTTCCACTGTATGCTGATTTATGAACTCCTGACTCATATTAACCCATTTCTTCACTGGCTTGCCATCCTGTAAGAAAAATGAACATCCTACTGATTTTTACTTATTAAGCACAGTTGTAAAAATATTACAGCATACTTGGTGCACTAGTTAGCCCAAAACATGACTGACTACACTATGATTTAAGCTCTTAAAATTATTTTCCCCACAGCTCAAAGTAAAGGTAAATACACATATTTTTTCTTAGCTGCTTTAATGCAGAGTCTTTTTTTATAAAAGCAACCAAATCAGAAACTTCTTACAGTACCACAGACACAAATAACTGTACTGAACGGACAGAGTATCTCACGCTTCATTTGACAATGCTGGGAAGCCAGGCTGACTCCTGGGCACCCACTAAGTCAGTGCCAACCGCTCCCCCATTAAGGGCACGCCTGCAGAAAGCCAGGAGCTGAGTAATCAGCCAGGCTTCCACAACATCATCTCAGCCACAAGGCTACACTTTGCCAATCCTTCCCCTTTACGTGTTTCTCACGCGATTATTATCTCCAGATTATCTATCTCCTTTTTCCTCCCTTTTTTCTCCTATTAGAAGAAAAATAATCTGTTTGCTCATACCATGAGACAAAGCAGAGAGGAAGCACAATTCAATCATGACCAAACATGTAAGAATTATCATGTACCTTGTGAGGCAAATAATTGTTCCCTCTTATGATTTGATTCCCATGTGGCACCTGCACTTGAGATAAACCAAAGCAACTGCGGTAACCTCATTTAACTGGAGAGCCTGGGACAGATGTGGAGAGGGCCTGGCAGAGCCAGTGAAATCATGGAAGTAGACAGGTCTTTAATGAGCTGCTGTCTGTGACACTGCAACAGAGGGCACCAGAATATGTCTTCTCTGCAGTGCTAGGTGGTTGCCTACTGATCTGATGATAAGAGGGAAATGGGCTTTTCCCATCTCCCATTTTCACAAAGACGAGCAGGGATCTGACTGCTGAGTAGGAACTTTTGAAATGGAATGGATGTGGTTCTCCACAGTGAATCGTGAGCACAAACAAGCATCAGCACAAGTGTCTGGTCTCATTTTGCTCAGCAAATTAAGCGATGTCACAAAACATTAACACTGAGAACGATTAGCGGCTTTTGTTGACACTGAGAAGCAGAAATCTTCCAAGCTAGAAATGCTCACTCCTGGATTAACTACAGAGGAATCTCATCTGCTTCAGACAAAGCAGCTTTGAATCTAATAACTGATCCCCTTCAAGATTAACGCAAACATCACATGAACACAATGCCACAAGCCTCTCTGGGACGACTGCAAACCAGTGACCATCCCATGCCACAAAGTGCTTGAAACAACTAAGGAAGGTTGAAACATTCCCACTGTGTCACTGACAACCCCAGGGACACCGCCGTGCAGCTCAGGAGTCCCAGTGGTCACCCCTCCGCATCGCACAGCTCAGTGCCTGTGTCCCAGAATGCATTATTTCACCGTAGCCAGGAGCCCAGCTTTTTGTTTTCTGCCTCCCAGCCCTGCTGGGACCTGTCTGCAGCTGCTGCTTTTCCTCCACCCTTCCCCACAGCTTGGGAGATGGCGCTGGAAGACAGGGCATGCTCTACAGCAACGGGAAGGAGGAGTCCTACAGAAGGAGGTACCGTCCTAACAGATGAAATGGCTGCCCTTCTCCTTACCACATGCAGGGCAGGGAAAGGAAAATCTGATCAGGATCACCCAGAAGCCCCAGAGAGTTAGGCCAGCTGGAGAACAAGGGGAAAAATTAACATGGCTGAATAATACACCATCTCATTAGCAAGAAACCAGTCATGTGCATTCTTGAGTGCAGGAGGGAGAACCACGGACATTTTAGTTGCAATATATAGACTTAAATATGATTTGGCTTAAATAATGTTTTTCAGCCATGGATCTATTTGATCCATTAATCAGCAATTTTGTATTGATTTTGAAGACTGGAGTGGGAAACTTACAAATAATGTGGCAATACTGAACACTATGTTTTTTCGAATTCCAGTGCAAAGAATTATTAAATGAAAACTAGGGTCACATGTATTTCCATTTCCACAGTCACAGCTATGGAAAGAGAAGGGGAATTCTTCACTATTCAGATGGAAACTGGAAAAAGCTGTGAAGGTATCCATTTTCTTTCCTGAAAAATCTAAAAGTGAACTGGTAGTAACAAAAACATCGTATTTCTGACACAGTTAACACTGAAGTCCCTGCACCATTCAAAACCAAAGCTCATAACCCACTTTCTGGTAGTTTTTTTGTATTTCATAAGAAAAACAAGAAAATTATGGATTACCTTAAGTTATCAATTATACTTTGTACATCAAGTGTTGGAAAATTATAGTAATTTTCTAGATAAGATAAACAAGTTTAAAGATATGTATTTTTCAATACTCTTCTGTTAAAGCAAAGCATCCAGCAATCTGAAACAACTACATTAGGAATTCAACCTTAATTCCACATACCTCATGAAAGCCATCGGATCCTTTATTGCCCCCTCTTCCCCTTCCACGATCTTTACGCTTCAATTTCTTTTGCATTCCACGCCCTCGACCAACACTGTAATTATTACCTCTTTGAGAAATACCTGAAAAACAGCAATGACCTCTTTCAATGACCTCGGAAAGTAAAGTAAAATGGTTATCTAGTGACACAGAATACAGACAAATCTAACAAACTAAATATCTACGGTTTTGCAGTCTAAATACCTAAATATTATCTTGAATCATGAGTTGGCAAGCCAATTGTAATTCTGTGCAGCTGCCTGCTCTTTGAAAAGCTCTTCAAATCAATAGCAGACCAACAAACTGAACATAAAATTAATCTTGTTCAAAGTAACATCTCACAACTAGAAGTGCAGGCACATTACTTCTAACCAGCCCAAATACTTGATATATTTTGTGCCTTTTGGTCACTTTCTGAACACAGAACTAACCAGTACAATTAACACCCAAGCATGTGTGCATGTTTCCTTGTCACAACATGCACGAAACCTGAGATTGTAACCTCAAAAATACAACAGAACAGCTTTGAATATAAAAACATTTAATGGTAACTGTTTGGAAGGCTTAAGAGGTAATTATCCAGCTACCAGAACACCAGTAGTCATGGTCTCAACTAAAAACACAGAGTATCTGCTTACTCATTAATTTAAAGCCAAAGAAAATCAGTTAGAAAGTTCTGCAGACATCACACCCGCTTCAGGTGGCAGCAACCTCCAGACAGCAAGACTGATTCCAGTGAAAACACCTTGACTTCATCTCAGATGACTTGGAGATAGAGATTTTGGAGCACTACTTACTACCAAGCAGCACATGAACAGCCATTTTTGTCTCAGCTAAAAAGAATTTGCCAATCTTCTGCCAATTTATTTTATTGTGAACCAAACCAGAATGCAATAAATCTTCACTGTAGTAACTGGAAGACAGCTTACTACCTTTGTATAACACACAGTATCTTCCTGAGAACTCGTAAGGCACTCATACTGTCATACAAAGCCCTGCTCAAATTTTGCCCAGGCGACAAACTTTTAGCCACAACTAAAGGGAGAAAATTTTGCAAACTGAATCCAGTTTCTGAAATGAGAACTTGACCTCATAGAAAAAAAAAAGGATGAGAACAAGGTAAGTATTCCTAGATGGTAGATCAGGCTATCTCAGTCAATGGCATACACTGTCTCCACTGCCTAACCCTCCACACCCCACGGCAGTATGTAGTGATACAAAACAACTGGGGAGTCAGAAGTCCTTTTGTAATAGGGAGGCCAGAGATGTAAGCTGGCTGCATGAACTGCACTACAACGGTAAGGAAACAATCAGACACCAAAAGAAAGGTGCAAACAACAATGCTTGCATAACTAAGCTTATATAATAAGTAAGGCATGAAATAAGGGCAGCACGACTCTTTCAGGAAAACGCTGCTTAAGAGGAATACTTTTTCACCAGCATTTGTGTCAGCCCAGCTTTGAATGGAAGAAAATTTGTGAAAAGAAAAGGGTATTAGCATACTTATGAGGCATACTAATAAAAGTATTCAGGCACCTATCAAATTTTCTAGGTACTTAAGAGTTTGGGGGTGGGGGGCTCTAAATTAGATTTTAGAGTTGACAAATTTACATTCCACCCCCTAATCAAGTCCCATTTCAGACTTTCATAAACTACACCAGAAAGTCACTTTACAGCCCTGTGATTTCTTACTTAAGCAGTAATACAACGAAGACCTTGACTTTCTAATAGGGTTTTATTTCTTTATTTACTATGTACACATTACCAAACACTTGACCTTTTTCTTCAATTGTGGTGGCTTCACTTGTCTAGCAGCCAAACAAAGACACTTGCTCACTCTCCCCGCCCCAGCCAGGGAACAGGGTAGAGAACTGTAAGGGTAAGGTGACTCATGGGTTGAAATAAAAACAATTTAGTAATAGAAATAAAATAAAACTTAAAATAATAAGAATAGTAATAATAGACTGTGCAAATAAGCGGTGCACAGTGCAATTGCTCACCGCCTGACAACCAATGCCCCGCTTGTCCCCAGCTGCTGATCCCAGAGCAGAGACATTCCTGAAACCACAATCCCAGAAGAGTGAGTCCAAGCAATCCCCAAAAGAATCCCCAGCTTTCTGGTCAACCCTCATTAATATACCCAACATGACGTGATACACTACGGAATATCCCATTGGCATATCCAAATGCCAATTTTATGTTTTGCTAATTCCTACCTTACCCCTACCCAGTCCTTTGTACCTGCAGGCTAGCAAAACACTAAGTTCTTGGACTTTCAGCAACAACTGAAAACATTGTGATGTTACCAACATTGTTCTCATAACAAATCCCACACTGAAACCACAACACAGCTATTCTAGCTGCTAAGAAGAAAATTAACTCTATCCTAGAAAAACCAGGACACCAGTCTATGCATCAGTGCAGCCACATGATATTATTCCTTCGTGACAAACGGTGTTATCACTTACTGATGGGAGACTGCAAGCTCCTTGGGAAGGCACCACTGGCAGCTTTCTTCATTCAGCTCTCAAGACAAACATCCTGAAACAATGCACGATACAACTGCTGCCACCATCCATTACTATAGTTAATGACTGAAATTATCTTACCTTTCTGGATCCCTTTCATTCCCTGCTTTTTCACTGGTTCTTTTGGGAATGGAGGTCCTAGATCAGTACTGGAGGTCTCTTTAGCTTGCCTGTATTGTTTAAGCTGATCAGCAAAATCTTCATCCTTTTCTTCCTCGTTATAATTACCAAAGTTTTCATCACTGTAATGACTATAGTCGTCATACTCCTTACTTTTTATATTTTTTTTATGTTGCATTTTCTGTGAACTCATGTAATTTCCTGATACGTGTCCATGCTGTATGAAAGGGATTGCACTGTTCAGAAGCAACTCAGTATTTCGAAAAACACCTCTCCAAACTGCTCTACAAAACCAGCTGTTTTCACCCTGCTTTACTGTCATGCTGTCTATCAGATTTGCACTAACAAGCATTAATAATAAACAGTGAAATCCAATTATCTAGTAAAAATTTGTAATTTTGATTCTGAATGCATCAAAATAGGAAAAAGGACAAAAAATAACAGCATCAGCATCTATACTCCAGAAAACTTGCATGCAGTTCTAAGTGTTCTAAGCACTACATAGATGAACTATCATTAAAATAAATTTTTTCCATTAATGATCTCCAATCCTGATGATCTCAGACAAGATGAAACAACTTGTCCTGTCTCTGTCAGTCAGAATGAAATACTGCTTATGGTCACTCCTAATCCAGCACAGTCCCTTCTCCCATGCAGACAGGATCTTCAGCTTGTTAATAAATTTGACTGGCTTAGAGGTTTCAGGCTAAAAGGAAAGTCTCCTCTCCTCTGAAGAACCAGAGTTTCACCAAACCTCTAGCTGCTCTATTGCAGCTTTAGAGAACGCATTCTGTTTCACCCAGTGGTCTCAGGAGGGCTACCAAACTGCACAGACTGAGAAAAGCCAGGACAAATTGAACTATCAGAAAGTAGAATCAACTCTACAGATATTTAAAGGTGGCTTTTCCAGAGCTGTTTCCTCTTAGGACAGTCTAAATCCAACGCAGGCAATAATAAAGAGATATTAATTGTTGCCTGTTGGAGGAAAAAATAATATTAGGCTTGTTTACACCACCTACATTCATGCCACAGATAATGCTTTACATTTGGAAATCTACCCAAGGATATGAGAACTAGATGTGCTTCCTGAAATCCAGGAGAGTGGGCACTGTGATCAAGTCAGCCTTCAAAAACTGCAACATTTATATTTGCACTTTTAAAATTACACCTAAATAAAGACATGAGAAACCAGTTTAAAAAATGCTACCTGACTGAACGACGAATCATAATCTCTGTATGAAGAGCTGCTACTCTTTTTATGTGGTCTTTCTGTACGCTCAAGATCAGAGTCATGGCTGTAGTCTGAACTGTCATCGCTGGAAGGGGAGTTATGCTGAAAAAAAGAAGAAAATAGCTCTCTCAGATGTTGTTATACAATCCTCTGTGTAACTGGTCTGCTGTGTATGTACTTAAAGGAAGCATAAGCCAAATAAATGAAAATATTTTCTTAATTCTCACAAACCCCTGCTTCTGGAGGAAGCTAAAGAAAGCACAGTCTTTGATGACCCACTCTTTATCAGAGAAAGGTATCTGATCTGATGAGGCTTCCGACTGTGAACATTGAGGGCTATGTGGTTTCTCTGGGTTATATCAGCTTCCCACAGGTCTCTCTGAGCCCTACTTCTTTGTGAAAGGGCAAAGATGCTGCTGGAAGGTTTACAAATCTGGGTGAAGGCTAGAAACTTGCATATGACCATAGATATTATAGGCATCCTGTCATTTTCTGCACGGAGAAAACTCAGCATTTCTGTATTGCAAGTGTTTTATTAAGATGTATTGTTTTGCAGAAAATTTAGGGAGGAACCATACAAGAATACTGTATTTCTGTGACTTTTAGAAAAGGACCATCAGGTTTAATTTTCTAGCATAAAATTTTGTGAATCTCTTGCATTTGAGTTGATTAAAATATACATTAGGCACATGATCTTAATGAACTTCACTGAAGAATTCACTTAACAAGTCTGTAATCTTTTCTTTCCATAAATATAATTAGCACAAAAAGTGAAATTGATAAATTTACATTTTGTCTCTTATCCTAAAGAGCTCTGAAATCTCTGTGGTTCAGCTACCATTACTGCTGTCAGTGGCCAGCGCTTAACTTCCACTGCTCCTTAAGATTTGAACAATTCAAGCGGTTTAACATTTCAGCCTTCCATGTCTGAACTACCACAGTGACTGACAATGGCAGAGAGTAAAATGCTCGTAACTGTCAGCATTTTGTAAACTGCTATTAAAATAAATACTGAAATAAATAAGCATACAGTAAAGATGTATCTTTACTGTATCACCAATAACACAGTTAGTCCTGCAATCTGATTTTGTACTTCTTTTAAATATAAACGGATGAAAACCAAGTTTATAAAAACACATTTAGATAACAAGTAAACTTTCAAACTATCATTTGAAATGTGCTATGGCTGGATTACTTAATGATTTATTGTCTCTCACCCCACATAAACTCTCACCAAAATATGTGAATATGCACTTCCATGTGTAAAAAGTCGATTTAAACAAATTCTTTAATATTGAACTGCACTGGTAAGATAGAAATCCCAAAACTTGCCCTCAGAGACCATAGACTACTTAAATAGTAATAAAACCATTTTAGTTTTCTTCCCCAATTCCCTGGATTCTTGTCTAAACTTGGAAACGTGGAATTAAAATAAGCACCTCCAATATTTTGGTTTGTATTTCCTAACCTTATGCTTATCCCGTCTTCTCCTTTTTGACTTTTTCTTTTCTTTTTCTTTTTTGCGTTTCTTCCGTGATTTTCTATGTCCTTTCTCGTTTTTCTGTTTATCATCACCTTTTGTACTATGTTCTTTCACATCTTCATATGCTGCATCATCTATTTCACCATCTTCTAGCTCTCCATCTTCTCTGTAGGAGGAAAAATATCAAAACAATAAAATTACATGTTATTATGCATTTCACCTGTCCAAGAGCATAGCAAAAATGAACACATCTGGTATTGCTTTCCACCAGCTATGTTTTTATACATGTGCATATATTTTATCAAACATCTAATATCCCAAGAACTACTAGGATTTTAGAATTTTCTTTTATAGTTAAAGAAAATGGAATGCAAGTCATTAAATAACCTTGAATCGTACCGCAAAGTTAAGAAGTTTTAAAACTATGTATTTTTTCCCAGGTCTTCTTACATGTTTTTCTCCAACCTATATAAAAAAGCCTGTTTCAATATGTAGCACTCTGTTGCCCTTAAACACATTTCAAACTGAAGAGGTTGTTTAACCATTTCTAGAAATACTTCTACTACAACGCTATTATGTGCCTTTATGGTGCTGTATTTGCAGAACAGATGTGATCAAAATTAAAGTCCATTAAAAGTCCCTGAAAACCTTATAGCTAAAGAGTAGCAATAGTGAAAAGAAGCAGCTGGGCACTGCAGGAAAAACTGCAACGTAATACAAACACACTTCCTTCAACACACCAGCTCCTGGAACTAAAGATGGGTCTGTCGTTATCTGCGGTGTAATGGCCAAAGTCATGAGCAATTTGAAAAAGGAGAATTAATTTAACAGTTAAGTGGATTCTTCAAAAAAATTTAGTAGTATTAGTTGACAAGAAAGGAGTAGTTAACATTTGAATTTCATTTGCTAGAACCTAAAAACTGACAGAAACCAGACATCTGATTACGCTACTTTTCTAAGATACCCAGGGTAGCTTTTTTCCTTTATAAAATTTGTAATAGTGACATTTGTAGGGGTTGTTTTTCATCCATCAATAAATACTGCAAATGGAACAACAGGCACGTGAACGTAACTTATGCACATGAATGTGACTATCTCAAAAGTCTTCAAACTGGAGTAATACCAAAGAACGATTAAAAAACAAACACTAACACAAACGGTACACTTTAAGTGCTTGTAGACTAAATACCTGAAAGATTTGTGCTTATCTCCAACAGCAGGGACAAAAAAAGTTTCTGTGATTACACAAGACTTTATTTAAAGTTTCCTCTACTGATTCAAACAATAACAACCCTGAAAATATTCTGCCATGAAAGAAACATTTTCACAAAACACCAGCTAACCTATTTCTCATCCCTATTTCAGACATACTGCCAAAGCAATCTCAACTCCTCTACTACTATTTGGTATTTGCTGAGTTTTGGTTGTGGAAGAATTCACTGCTTTTAAACATTTATAATTGTTTCTATGTAATTATTTCCACATTACTGCCACCACTTCAGGAATTCAGCTTTTGCAGGCATCACAGAACCTTACAGAAACTCAGTCCTGAACTTTCACATGGAGATTGCCTGAAAATGCCATTGGTCTTATAGTGTTTGAAACCCTCACTCTACCAATGTACCAGATTCAGCAGAGGGTGGGGGTAGCAAGGGGAGAAGCCTGCAGCTACTAGAAAACCATATAAAATAAAAAAATTAAAACAAGATCAAACTAGTGCTGGGGGCAGCAGAAGGTATTAAGGCAGAAGCAGTAATTAGGTTATATTAAATTGCCTTACAATTTGTCCACCTCAGTCTGGTATCACAACATATAAGCTAAGCTGGTGATAAACTCTTGTCTACTTCAAGGGGCTGCAAACAGTAGGAAGGGGGAAGAACTGACCAGGAAGTAGAAGACCTGAGTCTCCACATAAAAAAAACAGTGGTTAAGAAGTTAGAAGCAATCCAAAGTTCTGACTTTTTGTAAGAGGAATAAATGGATATGCTAGGGAGAAGAAAAGGAGAGAAGACATGACTGCTGTATTGTCACCTCGTATGTCCTGCAACTTTTTAGAACTTAATGCTCTTAACAACAATACAAAAAAGAGGGGGAAAAAATTACAAACCAAAAAAACATCAAAATATGATTATAGATCACTAACTAGCTGAAAAATGGAAGGGAAAAAAAACCCCCTCACCTCCATATTATCAACTTGCATAAAGGCTTTGGCAAAAAACTAAGGAAATCCATCAATTTCAAGGTACTACCTTCTTCACCTTCAATTCTCAGCTACTCGTGAGACCCTACAGCAACTGCAACACTTTCCGATCATCTCGTGGCAGCCACTGCAACCATGTAAAGACAAGTTATACACATCCCAGCCGCATGGAGATGCTTCGCTATAGGACATGATCAGGAAAGAGACTCTAAAAACATTTCTAGGACATTCTGCACATTTCTGCACAAGGGCAGGTAGCCTATCTAGGGATTGAAAAAAACCAGCCTGGAGTATGAGAGAAAATAATCTTTTAGACAAGTACTGAAGTTAGCTTTGTTTTGTTAAGTAGCATGAAGTAAAAGGACTGAGTATAAGAAGTTTTCAAATGTCAAAATATTAAAAAGTGTAAATAAAAACACAGATTTAATCTGAATTAAAAAATTCTGCTATGGAAGGTGTAATTTAAAGACCATCATTCACACTGATGGACAGTAAAAGAAAGTTCATGGCAGGTCGTGAGTGAACTTTTAGGACTTCCTGCCACAGGCAGTTGAAAACAAGGCAACTGAAGGCATGGCTGTTCCCTCCAACACACGAGATACAACTCGGGGTGCTCGGAAAACAAAGGGAACTTAGAAAGTAGGTAAGAGAAACGGCTCAACTACCACCACTTTAGTTACACTGCAAATGCAATCACCACTGGTCTTAAACATTTACTTGGACACATTTTGAAGAGGACATTTTTTAATGTAAACATGAAACAAGAGGAAGATATGAAGCCAAAGTGAACAAGGAAAGGAAATTAATAATAAAGGTATGCCCACTACGAAGTGGGCACCAAACATGAAGTACAGAGGCAGCTTCAGCACATGATTTTTACAAGGTGCTCAGGGAGATGTGCTCATGCACAATCCTTATACTGCCCCACAAAGGGCAACATTGAATATTCTGGGCTTACACAGTATCTTAGTATGCTTCTATTACTGCTAGAAATGCCCAACACACAAAACTGAAAGTGTTCTTGATCTAGAAAAGATAAAGGATCTTCAGAATATGTACCCCAAGCATAAAATAAATCACCACAGTGTCCATAATCTCCAGCATTCGCTGACACATTTTGAAGTACATCACACAATATCCCAAGCAAGCATTTGTTACATCTTTCCAGGAGATGCTTGATTAATAAAGTGTGCCTAATGAAAGTGAAATGCAAATATTTATGAAACACCTGCAGCTATCAGAAAAAACAATCTTTCATATTGTGACAAAGTGAGGTAAACTCTCTCAAGGATGTCTACTCAATTAACATACCCTCTTAAGTAAAATGCCTGCTAAAAATGCTCTTTGGGAAATAAGGTATTTACCAGTTACCAGTTCCTCTGGGAACTGCTTTCATGTATTTACACTTCTGGGACACATCCAGGACTCAAATAACTTTCTAGGAAAGAATCAGGCAGAATCTCGGTAATACTATCCTCTGGATTGCATTGCAAAGGTAAGATTATGAAAGTCCTCTAATCCCCAAATGCCTAAATTCTTTCCATGACATGCTAGAATTTTTTAAGCATTGAACTTTGGGAATGTAAAAAAAAAAAAAAAAAAAAAAAAGAAAATATTATGATAAAAAGGTGTAATTTAATTATTCTTCAAAGAAAATTTAAAAGAAGTGATAGGGGAGAAATTACCTTCCTTTTTTTATAGGCATTTTTTTCCCTATTTAAAATCCAAACTGGAGCTGTATGCTAGAAGGTGAGTGCAGAACCTATTCCTTTCAGAAGTCCACTTCCTAAATTTATTCCACAGCCTTGGCTATAGCAAGCAGCTTTGGAAAGGGCTTTCAGTGATGTGAACCAACACTACCTCCTTTTCCACTATGAGTAATAAAAGTCAACAAACAGATGTGATCTGGAAAAAACACAGCTAGCAGCTGATTTTCTAGGAAATGGGTCCGAGTCTTAAGGTTGCTTTCCCTTTGGCAAGTATCTACAGCAAACAAATCACCACACTGATCTAACAAGAGACAATAGGAATTTCTGTTTTGCAAAGTACAGCTTCTTGCTTACTGAATATTCTGGGCTCACACAGTATCTTAGTATGCTTCTATTACTGCTAGAAATGCCCAACACACAAAACAAAGTGTTCCTGATCTAGAAAAGAAAGCGAGTATAATTTTGTTGTCTTTTTCAGGATTCACTTCTCTTTCAACTACCCTACCCCACAAAACAATACACGGCAAAAACAACCTTCACTGAAATAATGCCAACAAGCTCTGGGAGAACAGTTTATGATGCCTACACATCGCATACCTCAGGAGTCAAAAAGAGCCTCTGTGCTGAAGGAACAAACACTGGCAAATTTTTATTTCTGCCATGTGTTATTTTCTTGGATTCTATACTTCTATTTGCAAAAGCTGAACTAGGTATGATGCATCTTCAGATTAACAGAAGTTAATCCCTGACCTATTACAGTGCAGACCTGCAGTATAAAATTCTGGCACAGACAATGGCAGAAGAGGTTAACTTGCCTCTCACCAGAGAGCATTACCCAGCCCTTCTCATCCTAGTGCATTTAAAATCCTTTTGGAAGAAAAACAAAAGTGTCTTCATTAAATATCCAGTTTAAGTTGCTTAGAGGTGTTTGGCTACCACTGCCTGACCTACTGGAACTCCTTCCCAAAGAGCCTCAGATGACTTGAAGGATTAAAACAAGTTGCCATATGGTACTACTATTTCCTCATCACCCAAGGGACAGCAAATGCACTCTTGCGATCCAGAACACAGGAGACACAAAATTAAGTAACATCACCTAGACTCCATGAGCTAAACATATCCTAACTGAACAAAAGGCAGCACACTGACCACGATCTTTCCTATCAGCCCCTGTACAACGACTGGGTATACACGAAAAAAAACCCTGGTTCTCTAAATGCAAGAGAAAGAACTGAAATTGCTGATGGATCACTCCCT